CCACAGCACGCTCCTGCTCTGCTGGGCGGCTGGGAAGTGAGGGCTGGGCTGTCTTCAAGGTGTGGAGTTGCGAATGCAGGCTGTAGTTTTCTCCCCATTGCTGTTGTTGGTACCCTTCCTGCTCCTTCCTTCACTCCTGGGCAGACCTAAGATTCTCAGAGGGCCTGTGTCCTCTCTGTAAGTGTGCGAGGGATGGGATGTCTTTTTTAAAAATTGATTATTTTTTTGCTTTTTGGGTCACACCTGGTGATGCTCAGGGGTTACTCTCGGCTTTGCACTCAGGAATCACTCCTGGCGGTGCTCAGAGAACCATATAGGATGCGAGGAATTGAACTCGGGTCAGCTACATGCAAGGCAAATGCCCTACCCGCTGTGCTATTGCTCCAGCCTGGGATGGGATGTCTTCGTTTGCCCACTTCAGATTCTAGAAACAAGATACCTCACTTAGAAAGATGGCTCCTTTGCGTCTTGCAATCAACCTTTTGCTTGTTTTCTAGAGAAATGCTCTCCAAACACGATTGCAGCTATTTGTAGCTTTTAGGGTCAGAAAAAGTGCATGAAGTTTGGCTCAGTTTTGTAGTCCTTGGATTTTTTGGAGGGGTGCGTGCTTAGGTGTTGGTTCTGTCTCTGCACCCGGGGGACCTTATGGGGTGCTGGGAATAAGACCTGGGACGGCCTTGTGCCAGGAACAAGAGTGTCATGTCCCTCCCCACCCCCCCTACACACACACACCGTATACTGTCTCCCCAGCCCCACATGGATGTTTGTTTTGTCTTGTTTGGGAGCTACCCCAGGTGATGCTTGTGGACTGGCCACTTCTGGTACAGTGTTTTAGGGGTCGTGATCCTGGAGGTGCTGGGGGAGGGGGGATCTTGTGGGGCTCCTGTCTGCAAAATACATGCTCCAATCCTCTGAGCCAACTCCCCGGTCCTTTCTTCCCAGGCTCTAACCTGAGTTGTTTTCTCTTTTGAGAATTGACATTTTGGATTAGTTCCTATTTTGATCCTGGGCCCTTGATCTGGTTAAGGCCCCTGATTGTCCCTGGGGGCCAGATCTCAGTCTCCAGGGCTGTCTGGTATAGGCACTTCCTAGTGGAATGGTATCAGCCAGTTCTCTCTTACCCTCTATTCCACCTCCTTTTTTTTTTTTTGAGGGGGTTACACCTGGGGGTGCTCCAGGGGTCTCTCCTGGCAGTACTTGTGGGATTAAGCACTCCAAGAAGATTGTTGAGAATTTATTTATTTTTTATTTTTTTTGCTTTTAGGATCATACCTGGCGATGCACAGAGGTTACCCCTGGCTCATGCACTCAGGAATTACTCCTGGCGGCGCTCAGGGGACCATATGGGATGCTGGGACTTGAAACCGGGTCGGCTGCGTGCAAGGCAAATGCTCTACTGGCCCAGCCCCAGATTGTAGAGAATTTAGGGTTCACTTTGGTCCATTTAGTAGAGCATCCTGCAACTAGGGCTGTCCCTCACTCCCTCTCCCCCGAAATCTACCTCCTTGGTGCTCAATCAATCCTTATTTAATGCCTCCAGGAACTGGGGCGAGCACTCAGAGGCTAGCTACAGGTTTTGCATGCCCGAGTCCTGGGTTCAATCCCCAGTACTGCGTGTTCCCTCACTCCCGTACCCCTCAGCACCAGGACTGGGTCCCCTCAAATGATTTCCAAATCAATGCACACATTCCAACCATTTCCCTTTTCTCTTGGTGGTGTTTGATCACCCCCTTCCTTTTCTGGTGGTGCTGGGGGACCATATTGGGTGCTAGGGATTGGATCAAGGCAAAGGTCCTCCCCGCTGTACTATTGCTCCGGCCCCTCCTCTTCCTTTCCTATGTCCTTCTCAGCGAAGACGACCCTTCAGGGGCTCTCGAGCAAAGCCTGTGTGGGTGTCTCCAGGACTGCCCTCACTCCAGCGGTGCAGGGAGCAGCCTGCAAGAACACCCAGCAGGCTGGGGCTGTCATTATCAGGGATGGGACACACCTGCGACTTGCCCTTGGCAATGGGCCCGCTGTGTTTTCTAATTGCTCCCCAGGGCAGTGCGGGGACACCCTGCCAAGCAAGGCAGAGGTTGGTCTCCGAGAGTAGAGGAGAAACTAGGAAACCCTTTTGGTGACAGAGGTTTCTGTGTTCAGAATTTCAGGGTGAAAGATTTCATGGGCTGTGGTGGGACAGGGGCGAGAGATAGTACAGTGGGGAAGGTGCTCGCCTTGCATGTGGCTGGCCTGGGTTCGATCCCCAATTCCCCATATGGTCCCCTGAGCCCTGCCAGGAGGAAGCCCAGAACACAGCCCGGTGTGGCCCCAAAACAAATGCTCAGGGAACTCATCCTGGCTCTGTGCTCAGGAGTGACCCCTGGCAGTGCCAGGCAGAGCCTGGGATCTGAGCAGGAGGGGAGCAGGAGGGGACCATCATCCTCCTGTCCTGGGCTTTTGTTTTCTTGCCATACTAGCCGACTCGGTTGCTTTCATCTTTCCAGTCCCGGCCCGATGAGATGGTTGAAAAGGGACCCAAGTTTATGACTCACTCCTGCTGGAGGGAGGTGATCCTGGGTCACAGAGTGGAGCGAGAGGTCAGCCATGCCCACACGCTCGCCAGGATTTGAAAGAGTTGGACCGCGATGAGAGCTCAGGCGTTGCAAGGAGCCCGGGTCCACGTCACCCTGACTCGCTCGCGGAGGAGCCAGCCAGTGTTAATTGTGTTGGGAGTTTGGAACCACCACCGGGAATTGATGCAAGACTCCTGTGGATGGACCCCTCTGTCCTTTTCCCTGCCATTACTCAGAGTCAGGTGGGGCGTCTGAGGGCCTGTCAAGCTGACCAGCAAGCACGAGTCTCTTCTCACCTGGCTCCCAGGCCCAGATTTGGGTGGTGTGTCTTCAGGGAGTGATATGGACTTTTCTTTGATTTTGTTTTTGGGGCCACACCCAGAGGTGCATAGGACAGACTCCAGTGCTCAGGAAACACTCCTGGAAGGGCTCAAGGGACCATATGGGGTGCCAGGGACCGAACCCAGGTCAACTGCCTGGGAGGCAAGAACCTTACCTGTATTACTGTGGCTCCAGCCGCATGACGTGTAATTCAGCGGCATTTTATAGTCCTGCTACACACACACACACACATACGCACAAACAGACACACAGACAAACAGACACACAGACAGACAGACAGACACACACACACACTTTGGATGGGACTGGACTCAAGGAACCTGACTGTACTGGGGGCTTAATCTTAGCTCTGCACTCGGGGAACATTCCTGGTGTGTGTCAGGGGGACTATATTGGGTGTCACGGGTCCACCTACCCACCGTACTATCTTTGACCCCTCATTTTTTAAAAAATTTTTATTAGTGAGACACCATGAGATACAGATGTAGACTTACAAATTTTTGTGCTTGGGTTTCAATTATTGCTCAAGCGGACCCAGTAACGTCTCCATTGGAGACTTCGTTGTTACTGTGTCTGGCATATCGAATACGTCACGGGGAGCTTGCCAGGCTCTGCCAGGCGGGCGAGATACTCTCCGTAGCTTGCCGGGCTCTCCGAGAGGGGCGGAGGAATCGAACTCGGGTCGGCCATGTTGGCTGCGTGCAAGGCAAACGCCCTACCGCTGTGCTGTCGCTCCAGCCCACACGGCCGACACAGGTTTCAATTATACAATGATCAAATACCCATCTGACCCCTCATTTTTTTATTGTTGGGTTTTTGCATCATACCCAGTGGTACTCACTGAACCCCGAGTTCAGTGCTCGGAGATGACTCCTGGAGGTGCTGGGGCTGGAACCCAGGCCTCCAGGTCCAAGAACTGCACTCTAATACAGAAATGCCGTCTTTCTTTCTCCCCTCCGCCTGCCAAAGACCACTCTGCTATTAACCGCCCAACTGCTGACCTCTCCCCAAGCGCACAAAAAGCAGTTCGACCTACTTCAACATGGGGAGGGCGAAGGGGAGCTAGCGGGAACCGGTGGAGACCACCCCCCACACTCTGCAGTTAGCAGAGGGAAGAAAAGGGCGCTGAGAACGCTTCCTGGAATTACAGAAGTGATCACCTTTAACGTCCTTGAAAAGCCACTAGGGAAGATGGATGAAAAAAGAGAAAAATCTTATTATTTACTTTTTTTTTGGACAGCCGGCTTGTCATGCAGCGGGTGGTGACTCACGGCACGAAGCGTAGCACTACTTCATCAGGGTTACACAAGTGACAGAGAGAGGAGGCGGGCACTTCACAGTCACCAGGCTAGAGAACTGATGGGGTGGGAGGAAGGAAAGTGACGTACTTCTGGTCCTCGCTCACCCACCCGGCGGCCGGAATGCCCGTCGGGCCGCGCTCCCCGCCAGTCCCTCGCGTCCCCGTCCCCTGGATTCGGGGGGCGGCTCGTTTGAAGGCTACGGGGCGGGTGGGCCTTGCCCAGCAGGGGTCTGGCTCGCGTGGCCCTGCCTGGCCGCCCCCGGCCCGGTGACAGCGGGCCCAGCCCGAGCTGCTCCCGCCGGGGCACGTTCTGGGTGCGGAGGAGGCGTTTCTGGGGCGGTCGGGGCGCCCGCTGCCCGGCGCCCACGAGGACCCAGTGCGCGTGTGCCGGGGGTCCCGCCCGTTCGCCCACCCGGGGCCGGGGGCGCCCAGGAAGCCGGCCCGAGGGGCGCGCCCGGGAGCCGGCGCCCCGCGCGCGGGGCCCACGCGGGAAGGTCGAGCCGGCCGCTGAGGTCACGGTTGCCATGGCGCCGGGCGCTGACGCGCGTCGGCACGTGACGCGCCGTTGCCATGGCGCCGGGCCGGCGGCGCGGAGGCCCCGCCCCCGCGTGACGTCGGCGCCCCGCCCCCGCCCGTCCCCGCCGGCTCCCCGCGGCCCCGGAGGTTTCACTGCACAACAAGATGGCGGCGGCGGCGGCGGCGAGCGGAGCCGGCGGGGCGGGGGGCGCCGGGGCGGGGGGCGCGGGCGCCGCGGGCCGCCTGCTGCCCCCCGCCCGCGCCGGGCCCCGCGGCCGCGGCCCCCGCGCCCGGCGCGCCCGCGGCCGGCCCGCCGCGCCCCCCCGGCGCCCGCGCCCCGCGGCCCGCTGCCCGCCCGCATCGGCTACTACGAGATCGACCGCACCATCGGCAAGGGCAACTTCGCCGTGGTCAAGCGGGCCACGCACCTCGTCACCAAGGCCAAGGTGGGCGCGCGGCCCGCGGGCCGTCCGGCCGTCGGGGGTGGGGGCCGGGCCCGCGGGACCCCGCGCGGGGACCCCGCCGGGGGCGCCCCGGGGCGGGGGGGGCGCCTGTCCGCGGGCAGCGGTCACTGCCGCCGGCGCCCGACCGAGCGGGTCCCGGCGTGGGGGCAGCACGGACGGGGCAGCGCGCCGCTCGGCCCCGGGACCCCGGGGGTCAGCCGAGCCCGCGGGAGCGCGGGGTCCGCACCGCACCGCGCCGCACCGCACCGCACCGCGGGGGCTGGTCAGCGCCGCGCCGCCGGCCCGCGGCGGGGAGGACGGACGCTCCCCCGGGGACCCGCGCGCCGGCTCGCCGAGCGCCGCCGGCCAAGGTCACTTCGGGAGTCCCGGGCACCCCGACGTGCCGGGGCCCCCGGGGGAGCGCGGGCTGGGGGGCGCGGGCCCGGGCGTCTCGGCCCCGGGGAGCCGGCTGGGCACTGCCAGCGGCCACCGGGGCAATCGGGCTGATCCCCGCCGGCCCACAAAGGCCGTTTGTGCTCCAGCTATCTGCCTTGGCCGCGTCGCGCCCGAGCCCGGCTCTCAATGTGGTCATTCATTCCGCTCCCGGCCGCGGATCGCGTGTCCCCCCGCGCCGCGCGGGCAGCCCCGCGGCCGGTCACTCCCGGCCCCCGCTGCCGCTCGCCCTGCCGCCGCCCCCCTGCCCCCCGAAGCTCCCGCTCTGCCCGCTCGGTCCCGCCGGGGGGCCTTCGGGAGGCCTGGGGGCCGGCGGTGGTCGGAAAATTGATTGGTCAGTTTCACTTCCCCCGGGAAGCCCCCTCCGGCCTTTCTGGCCGTTGGGGTCCGAGGTGGCGGGAGGCCGAATGGGATGTCCAAGCCCCGGGCTTGACTGTCGGTCCGGGTGGTCCCCTCGCAGCAGCCCGAGGGGCGCCGGGACCCCGCTTGCACCCTGCGGGGGCTTCTCCGCGCCGCCGGCTGCAGCGCCGGCACTTCTGCGGAGGGAGGCTCGCCAAGCCCCAAGTTGTGTTGGCGAACAGCTGAAGTTGCGTGCTGACTTAGGCTGCCCCTCCTAGTGGTATTTCCTTCGGAGCCCACCTCCCCTTCTGCGCCACCCCCTTTGCTCTCCAGGGCTGCTTTCCCCCCCACCCCCCCAAACCGGCTCAGACCTCTCGGGGTCTGGGCTCGGGGCACGCCGCCGTGGGTTGTCTGGTTGATGGCATCTCTCCGACAGAAAGAATTTTGCATCTTCCAGCCCTTAAGCTCTGCCAAAATATTGATAAATCCGTGACAGGCAGGGCTGAATGATTTTTCTCAATTGCACTGCAATTTACAATGGCGAATGTAATTGCAAACAGTTGATTCTTGGCTTTCTATATGAAAGAGACATTTCTTTCCTCGGTAGTCAGCAAAGCCAGTGCCTAATTATGGCTGGGCTGCCCGCTTTCTAATTTCCCTCTGCATGCGTTGTGTGTTGTGTGTGTGTGTGCGCGTATGTGTGTGTGTGTGTTTCTCTGAGGCCTCGGTATCCTTGAGACTGCAGCCTTTTAAAACACTGGCTCATGAGCGGGTGTCACTGTTTACGTTGGTTTTTATCTTTGATCATTTGTGGTGCACAGTTATGCAATTCCTATGTATGGAGATATCCCGAACTTTGAATGGGACCAAAATGGCCCGGACAATGAGTTGCATGTGTGCGGGGACCACACCAGCATTCCTTTCCGTTTGTGCAGCAGGGTGCAGGTTGCTGGTTCCACGGAAGAGCGCCCTACCTTTTGCTGCCTTAATAACTCTGACGCCACAAGGGGAGGTCAGCGCCCAGGAGCTGCCTTGGGCCCCCGCGTGGGCCAGGAGCGCATTTTGGCCTGCTCCCTGCTTCTCTCAGCTGATGGCCACAGCTCAGATGTGCCTCACCGCCTTTGACGTCCGGTCCGCTGGCCTCTTGGGGCTGTGGTTGGGTTACATAATGGTGAGCGAGGCAGGTGCCCAGGTGCTGGGAGGTGCAGAAGCTGCTGTTCCTTGGGTCCAGAGAGAGGGACCCCTTCCCCTCCTCCCATCTCTTCTCAGCCTCTTTTTTTTTTCACTTCTGCTGCTTTTATTTTTTTTAATTTAATTTTTTTTTATTTTTTGTTTTTTGAGTCACACCCGGCAAGGCACAGGGGTTACTCCTGGCTCTCTACTCAGGAGTTACCCCTGGCGGTGCTCAGGGGACCATATGGGATGCTGGGTATCGAACCCGGGTCGGCCGCGTGCAAGGCAGACGCCCTACCTGCTGTGCTATTGCTCCAGCCCCCCCCTTCTGCTGCTTTTAGAGGTATGCGATCAATTTTAAAAACGAACCTCTCTCTCTTCTCTCTGTAGGAGGCTTCAGCTTTTCCTAAAACTCCACCAATTAGATTCTGATAATTAGGGTGCTCTTTGCATTGGCCACGAGGAGGTTAGTTAATAGGCGTTTTCTGAACGTGGGAGAACATACCTAGGATCATCTTCTCTTGCACACATTCCCCACTCCGAGGACGAAGAGGCTCAGGTTAGCCTTGTTCTCGGCTGCGCTCCTGGAACCCTCCCTGTCCCTGTGTAGGGACGTTGGCCCTTCCCCAGGGTCTGGTAACTCCCACCCCTCTGAGTGTGGGACCCAGCGTGGACTGGGCTGAAGGAAGGACATCCTTGTTGGTTGCTGACCCCTATGCTCAGGGGCCTCTCTCAGCAGTGCTCGCGAGAGTCACGGAGCACTGGCCCGGCTGCAGTGAGCCGGAGGGAGCCCTCGCCTGGGGCGCTCTGGTTGGCGGCCCTTTCTTGGGCACTCTGGGCTCCCCGCTTTGCTTTCCTCCAGAGAAGCCTTCCCCTGACATTCTTTGACTCTGTTCTTTCAGCAGGACACTCTGAAAGCGCTTTAAAACAAAAATAAATAGGGGCTGGAGAATAGCACAGCGGGGAGGGCATTTGCCTTGCACGTGGGCGACCTGGGTTCGATTCCCAGCATCCAATAGGGTCCCCCGAACACTGCCAGGAGTAAGTCCTGAGTGCCGAGTCAGGAGTAACCCCTGTGCATTGCTGGGTGTGACCGCCCCCATCCCCCACAAAAAAGTAGATTAAAAAGAGGAGTTTTCTGCTCACCAATTTTCTGCTCTCCAGGCCTAATTATATACCTTCAGAGCTTGGGTGGGACCAGAGAGATCTATTTTGTGCGAGCGAGCGCGATCTTAAAGTCTGCACCACTATAGAAACCGTCGGTCAGATGCCTTTTTAAAGTGTCGTGCAAAGATATACCACTTGCCTGTTGCTGGTTTGTGGTGAGAGCGTGACCTTTGGAGGCTGCTGCTGGTGTTTGGATGCCCTACTGCTGCATCGCCCGGTGCTCTTGGGTAAGGCGTTCAGGCCCTCGTGCTTGGATTTCCACATCCAGAGGAGGAGCTGGCAGCAGTTCTTGCCTCACCAGCTTGGGTGCTCTGACGATTAAATGAGATATATGTAAAGCCCTCTGATGAGTGCCTGGCCCTAGTGGCGGTGAAACAGGTATTCCCATTAGCCTCATCATCAGTGGTACCAAAGATGAGGAAGACATAATTCTACCCCCCCATCCCTTGCCCCCCCCTTTTGCGGGGGCTTTTCATCCGTTTAGAACAGTTCATGAATGCATAAGCCACTCATTTTTCATCAGGTGTCATCCTGATAATATGCTTTCAGGATTAAAATAAAAATACTTTGCTATTATTTCAGGTGCCAAAATTAATATAGGGTTTTTCTTTTCTTCTTTTTTTTATTTTGGGGGGGGGGGTGCAGTGCCAGGGATTGAACCCAGGGCCTCACATATACAAGGCAAGTGCTCTGCCACCGAGGCACCTATTTGGCCTAAAATATTTAAAATATTTGCGTCAAACTCTCATGGACTATTGGCTAATCTCATGAAATTGGCATTTTACCTTATTTTAATATTTTGGTATTTGGGCCATACGCCTGCTCCTGGCTTTGTGCTCAGGGATCACGCCTGGTGGGCTTGAGGGATTATGGTCCCCCATTGTACTATCACTCCAGCCCCAGAAATTGGCATTTTTGTTTAAAAAAAATACTTACTGAGAGTCTGGACAGTAGGTAAGGTGTTTACCTTGCATGCTGATTCAGTCCCTGGAACTCCAAGCCTGAGTCCCACCAGGAGTGATCCCCGAGTGCAGAACCAGGAGTTAAGCTTAAGCACAGCCTCCCCCCCCCATTATTTATTTTGAATTTGGGGCCATACCCAGTGGTGCTCAGGGATCACTTCTTGCTGGGGCTCTAACCTGGGAGCAAAGCTTGTGCTCCAACCCATTTAAGTATCTCTCGGGCCCCCAAATCTGCGCTTTTATCAATTTATTGTGGGGTCCCATTTGGCGGTGCTCGAGGCTTACTCCGGGCCCTATGCTCAGGGGTCTCTCCTGACAGTGCTCAAGGACCGTGTGTGGTGCTGGGGACAGAGCTGGGGCCAGTTGCGAGTGAGGTGAGCACTGCAACCCCTGGAGTATCTCTCTAAACCTCAGGATTTTATATTACATTGTAGATATTTATATTTTATATTTTTATTTTTTATTTTATATATAGATTTTATATATATATATTATTTTTCTGGACCATATCTGATGGTGTTCAGGGATTACTCTGCACTCAGGGAACACTTCTGGCAATGCCCAGGGGACATATCTGGTGCCAGGGCTCAAATCCAGCTGGCTGCGTGCAAGGTACATGCCCTACCCACTGCACTATCTCCTGGAAAATCCCGACTGGCATTTTATTTATTTATTTATTTGCTTTTTGGGTTACTCCTGGCTCTTCACTCAGGAATTACTCCTGGCGGTGCTCAGGGGACCCTATGGGATGCTGGGAATCGAACCGGGGTTGGCCGTGTGCAAGGCAGATGCTCTACCTGCTGTGCTGTTGCTCCAGTCCAAAGACCGATATTTTAAAACATAATTTTTCATTCAAATTTTTGGGGTTTTGTTTTGTTTTGTGGCCACCTCTGGCTGTGCGTAGGGTTT